ACTTGATCTTTTATCTATTTGTGTTTACTATCGTCATCTTATGTCAATGATACAAGTGTGTTGTTTAAATAGATACGGAGTTTTCCTTCTCAAGAATTTTATGATAATGCACTGGAAGATGGTGCTGATATTGAAGAACAAACAAAGCGTGTTTGGCATGATTATCGCTGTTTTCGCCCCTTTTGCTTCTTTGATGTAAAGGATGGGTCAGATTCGCAACCTGAAGGAAGTGGATCTTGGGTAAATGTAGATGAGGTTGAGTTTGCACTCCTCTTATATCAGAAATTGATTTCCAAATATCCAGAGCTCAAGTCAAGCTCCAAACTTGCTATTATTTCTCCTTATAGCCTTCAGGTTAGGCTCTTCCGTCAGCGATTCCGGGAAATATTTGGTTCTGATTCAGAAAAAGTAGTAGACATAAACACTGTTGATGGTTTTCAGGTATGTGATCTTCGTAGTTTTGTTCTTGGTTTCAAAATGTGCAATTTTTATTGTTTGATGTCTTTGCCAACTTAGATGTCGTGGATGCCTGAAATGCAAAGCAAGAGTGACCAAATAATCAACTATGCGATATATAGTCATACTATCTGACTGAAAATTGTATTGACAATCAAACTATATAAATTGCTGGAACTCATTGCAGGGACGGGAAAAGGATGTTGCAATATTCTCATGTGTTAGGGCAAGCAAAGATGGGGGTATTGGATTTGTTTCTGATTTTAGGCGTATGAATGTCGGCATCACCAGAGCTCGTTCATCCATCCTGGTAAGACTGATCAACAAATCATATTTTACATAAATTTGTGATGATTTTCACCTGAACTTCGGAGTCTCTAGGTTGTGGGTTCTGCATCAACATTGAAGAGGGACAAGCACTGGAGCAACCTCGTAGAAGCTGCTGTGAAGAATAATTCTCTTTTTGAGGTAATCATGGTTTATTCTGCACATGCACCTGTAAGCTTAACACTTTGTTTGGATAGGAAGAAATAGAAGGAAAAGAAGAGAAGAGAAATGGAGGGGGACAAAATCTCTTGTTTGGGTAAAAGATTGGGGGAAGGAAGGGGAAGGAGAGGGAGTGATCCATTTTCCCTTTAATCTCTCCAAAATTGGAGAGATTTGGAGGGAAAATGGAGCTCACCTCCCCCTCCCTTTCTTTTCCCTTCCCTTCCTCCATTTTCCCTCCCCTTCTTTTCCTTCCTTCTTTGCTATCCAAACAAAGCGTAAGTGTGTGTTTGGATTGAAGGAAATGGAGGGTAAGGAAGGGAAGGGAAGGGAAGGGAAATGGAGGGAGGGAGTTTCTTTCATTTGGATAAAAAATTAGGGATGAAGGGAATTGGAGGGGAGAGAAATGTAGGGACTAAATTCTAAGAATATGATCCCTCCAACAATGGAAAGATTTGGAAGGAAAACTCATCCTTCTTCCTTCCCCTTCCTTCCCTTCCCTCCCCTTCACCTCCCTCTCTTTCTTTTCTTTCCCTTAACATTACCCAAACAAACTGTAAATGCCACTTGTCTGGTCATTGGTGTTGAGCTTACGGGCATGTTTCTGATAATTTGAAGTAATACTAATACTTATTGATGATGAAGCTGTTTCCACTGATCTAAGTGGGACATTGTAGTATTTTAGTCTAGCATCCTTCTATAGTCCGTGTAATGGACTAACCAGGGTGTAGGATACATGTGAGACTTAAATATGGAGTATATGTTTTTTGTCTTCAACAGCTTCAGGGTTTCTGTAAATTATTGAATATGTATGTGTTGGAGGTTGACATGCTGAGTAAAGTTAAACAAGTTCTGGGATATGCGTGTCTTTTTAGATTCAATGAGTCACTTAAGTATTGATTTATGTGGTATCTAAACAAGCTATTCAAGCTGAATGTTGAGATCACTTTTAATATTGATAATATTGATAAACAAGTCAAACTTGTCTTCCGACTTTCCCTTGTACAACTAGCTAGGGTGAATGTTGCATACTGTACTTTTCTTAACCTAATCTACCTGCAACTAGATTATCCAAAATTGTACATCAGGTTTTGATGCTAAACAAAGACTAAGATAGATATTGCTGGAAGACGTGAATCAAGCTGTACAAGGAAACAGCATCTCCATTCTACTACTTCAATTGACTATAATTAATAAGAGAAGGTAGTAGAACTCATTATGCTAATATCCTGAAAATCTTGTCATTGAAAGGTGAAAATATAGAAAATTGAAGATTAAGTGCTGGGTTTCTGAGTAGGATAAAATTTGTCTTTCATGTGTGAAGATCCTTGTTTCTGTTGTGTGCAAGATAATACGGAGTGATTTTATTTTCGCAATATATAATGATTCCAGTTATCATCTCTCATTCTTATCAATATTATCATGGCAGGTAACCAAGCCTTATGCATCATTCGTTAGTGATGAACACATGAAATCCATGAAAGTGGAGGTTGAGCCTGATGATTTCGACGAAGAAATGTATGCACCTATATATGGTGATGTGGACAACTCTGTACAAACAATGGATGTCGAAGATGAAGGTTATGGTGATGCAGGCGGTGATGATTAGTTGCAGATTCCACATTGGGCAAACTGACAAAGTATTGTAGATGGGCTTCGTATTGGGCAAACTGACCATACTGCCAAGGCTGCACTTTGCAGGTTGAAGATGACTGTAGAAAACAGATAACATAACAATGACTGCTAATAATTTTTGCCAGCTTAGCTGCAGGAGATGGCTTATCAGAAAACTGGTAATGTCATCATCCCGAAAATTTGAAGATCATGGGATCGGAAGAGAAGGGCTTTGGACGGCAAAGTATACCCCTGCCGGACTAAAGGGTTGGCCTCATGGGATAGTGAATTCTATACAATTTTGAAGATTGATCCTTTAATTATATCTTTTTTTCTGACTTTATATCAGGGAAATATAAAAACTATACTGTTAAAGCTGTAAATGGCGCTTTTTTTTTTTTTTTTTTTTTATTAATCATTTAAAAAACAAATGTAGAGTCAAATTATTTATTTTACTGTAATATATAGTAATTAGGAAATCCATCATGATGGTTCCTAATAATTGAAGTTACTAATTTTGCTGAATTATAGTAGTATATAATATGATGTCATGCTGGCTTCTATTTGATAAAATATACTTTTGTTATTCCTACAAACTACCTGTTTCTGTGTCGAATATAGTCAACTCAGTGTTTAGTCGTATGCTACTACAATGATTTTTTTATTTATAGGTCTATTACTATTTATCTTAGAATTAAATTTGAAACATGTATTGTTAAAATATGTATATATATATATATATATATATATATATATATATATATATATATATATATATATATTTTGAAAACAAGTATGAGGTGATTGTAACTTGGTATATACATGCTCTTTTGGTAAAAGTTATTGAATTTACTGAAAAGAAATTCAGTGCTAACTAAACATACCAACATTCAAACTATTTGTATACTACCTCTGTTAACATTTACTTGCAACTTTGGGGTATTATTTGAGAGACATAAAATATTCCAAAGTTGCAAGTAAATGTTAACGGAGGTAGTATATGAAAACATAAATTACTAACCTAAGTCAATACTTCATTAATAATTTATAATTTCCTACCAAAGCAATTTCCTTTTTCTAATATATAGATTAAAAAAAAAAAAAAATCCAATTAGACTGAGATATATGCTTCGAATATCTAAACATCTCACTTTTACATTCTATGTAAATGTAGACGAAACTCCCCACTTACAATATACGGGAATTTATTTAATTAGGGTTTATAAAGATATGAAAACTATGAAAATGTTGCATAAGTATAATTTGAAGCATAAAGCGTTACGAGTATTTAATTTTCAAGTACCCATGAAAACTATAGAATGTGTTACGAGTATTTAATTTTCAACTATAGAATGTGTTACGAGTATTTAATTTTCAAGTACCCATCATTGTCCATTACTCTATATGATTGTATTTTTGCTAGATTATTATTAGTTTGATGAAATAAAAGAATTATAAAAAAAAAAAAAAAAGCCCAATTTTCATCACTTTTACTTTAGGAAAAGTAATGAGGAGATAAAAGGGGGTAAATATAACAGGTTGTATTATTGAAATTTAGCTGGCAATTGCCAAATTGGACCAAACCAACTAAACACGTTTGGCTTCTAGATCATATGGCAAAATTCTCTCATTCATCTTACATCAATAGATTGAATTAAAATTTTCCTTTCTGATTTTTTTTCTTCCTCCTTTAATTTATTCAAAAAATAATTTTATGAAAAAACCTCGGCAAAATTTGTTGCATTGTTGCCCAATTTCTTCTTAGTGTTTAATTTGTTCCGTGAAGATCTCCTATTTCATCAATCTATGATGTATAGATGGATTCAGGATAATTCTTTTTATGACTAATTTGATGAATAATATCGCAAATTTGTTTCTATTATAAGGTGAGAATGCCATTTTTTCCATTCGCATTTTTAAAATTTTGATGTATTTTGCTTAATTTTACATGTTACGCAACAATATCAATATCTAATAGAGTATAAAACATATTCACGGGCCTCATACATTGGGATAATCATACGTTAATACAATAAAAAAAATCACAAACATCTAAAAAATAAAAATGCATGTTGTTTTTGCATCATTATGTAAGATAAAATTGATAAATGCTTGTTTATTTGTTTTAAGTGCTCAAGAAATTAAACATGAAAACATGGAAACATGTTTGTAATAAATTCATATATGTTGAAAAAATTAAAAGGTCAACTCATAAAAACAAGGAGGAAAAAACTCTAATGGAAAAGTTCAAATCTTTCCATGTTTTAATGAAAAAAGACTAATTTTTTTTAGTATTATGCTTAAATTAATTAATATGTTGAAGGTCTTCGTGGTTTCCACTCCAAGAAAAAGGAATCAATCAATTAATAATTTATATTTGACAAAATATATGATTGGAGATTTTTGACAACGGTATTTGATAAACTCTGTTTTATTACAAGATCCTGTTAGTTGGAAGGAATAAGATGTTAATTTATTAATTTTAATATTATTGAGGGAAAAAAAAATGTACATGTAAAAACAAGAACATGAATTTCTCCTCCCCTTTTGCAGATTAGCTAGATTATTACATGGACAGTTAGCTTGTATCGAAATTTGCTAACGAACGTACGTTGTTTCGAAAATTTTCTATCGTGTTTGATCCTTCGACGATGTCAATGAAGATGAAGGGACTTCTCAAAGGTCTTAGATACATTTCAACAATTTTTGGTAAGTTTTTTTGTTGATTTTTTTTTTTTTTTTTTTTTTTTTTGGGTTTAATGTGGAATATAATTCTTAGTATTTGCAAATTTATTGGTAATAATGTAGATGAAGAACAAGAGCCAGAAATGCAAATTGGGTTTCCAACTGATGTAAAGCATGTTGCTCATATTGGTTGGGATGGTCCAACTGCGAATTCGCCGAGCTGGGTATTGTAACAATTTATTTCATATATATATATATATCAGTTGAAAGTATGATCGGATTAGTTATGATTGAATTTGAATCTTTCGTGTGTTCCGTAGATTAATCAATTCAAAGACGGAGAAGGAGGAGGAGGAGCTTTGAATGGTAAGAAATTAGATGACAAATGCAATTTTAAGTCTAAATACTCTCTTCGTCTGGAAATAATAATTACCTGGATATGAAACACGTGTTATGTTTCGTTTTTGTGTAGTTGATCAACAAAATGGACCTAGAACACGGGGTCTAGTCCAAGAAAAACGATTCTCTACAAGTTCGGATTCACCCATTGAGTCTCCCTCTCGAAAGAAGTCCGACAAGCCTAGGGGATCGAGGCGTGCTAACTCGACTCCCTCTGCTGCTGTCGAATCCCCCAGAAGGTCGTTAACAAAGCAGCAGTCGCCTCAGCAGCAGTCGCCTCAGCAGCAGCAACAACAACAGCAACAACAGCAGCAGCAGGTCCTCCGAACAGCAGAAGGTGAGTCAACCTCAGTGAGCCAAAAAACCTCCTCACGCCGGAAAAAGACCAAGACTAGCTCATCTCGAACATCAACCAAGTCCAAGTCTGCAGCCCCACCAGTCGTCGAGTTTTCACACTTCTCGGACCCTGGTGTAGGAGGAGGAAACAGCAGCAGAAACACTGCTACTGCAGGAGGCAGTGCAGATCATACACCACCACGTCGATCGAAAGGCAAAGATACATGCCAAGGTTCACTTATGAAAGCAACAGAGCAAGAAGATCAGAAGGCATTGGATGATATTTCTAGAGGAATTCATGCAATGTAAAAATAGTCTCATCATCATGTGTAATGTATATTTTTCTGTACACATTTTATCTTTTTACCTCCCCTTTTTTTGGCAAACTTTGGTTTAGTTGCAACAGATTGATAGTTGTAGTCTTTGATTGGAAGTAAATAGAACAAAAAAAAATCTTCTTAGCCAAGTTGTATTCTTCGCTTATAGCATGTAAAACCCGAATTTTCAGCTAGCAATAGTGTTACTTAATTCGCAGTGTGCTTTTAATACCCTAATGGATACGGTAACACATCTCATCACCAAATGTGTTAAACTGGTATAAATTTATAATACCATATCTATTTCGTAGTTTGTGAAATTAATAAATTATTCAAACCTGTCAAAATTTATCGAACTCAAAGTAGTTTGTACTCGAATATGAACTACTAGACCAAATATGACTTGATTTGTTCAGAAAGATGAAATTGATATGATCTTTTAATTTAACAGAATGTTCTAATTTACGATATATCTGAATAGACCTAATCCAACTCGTTCCCGAAGCAAAATGGCATGAACCAAACAACCCATATTACTTAACAATCAATACAAAACTACAGAAAATAATCAAACATTAAAATTATAAGAATACCCAGCATTCTTTAACACAATATTTCTTAAACCGTAAAAAGCTTGATGAGTTTGATTCAACATAAAAACTTATAACATAGACTGACACAACAAACAGAAAGCAATAGACAGCTTACTACCTACCAGAATAACAAAGAGATTCTGGTATGTTACATGTAAAATCTGCCTAGTGTTTCTCTAAAACAGACAACAACGACACAATAAGAAGAAAAACAACAACGATAGCAATAAGAACTGCTAACAACGACGACAACACTGACTCCATAAAACTTAAACAAAGACGCCGATAAAACTTAAACCCTCACCGAGCTAATCAACACATATCTGTGGACTTTGGAGGACGCCCCATTCTGAGCATGGAATTCCTCTTGACACCATAGCTTTCGAGATTATATCCAGCAACGAGCCGTCTCCCTTGGAAGGACATTTGATTAAAAGGAAGGATAATTCCGTGCTGATCAAACACTCTTTGACGGATAACACCCACATCATCCGAAGCCAGGACATTCAGAGTGATAGTACTACCCAGGTACATCTTCAGAGACACCTGAAACGGATAGATCAGGTGCAGAACAGTCTGGTTTTCAATGCAGTAGGAAGCCAATGACCTCGAATCCTCGAGAGCATTTCCATCCAAAAGAAGTCCAGCTCCATCAACCCTCGAGTTTATCATACTTCCAATCACAACCTTGGTGTATGCAACTGTGTGCAGCTTCCTGATCTGAAAGTACACCTTCCCATTATTCGGGGTGTAAACTGAGATCCACACCAGATCCTGAGGGATCTCGACCAAGAGCAGGGTCGAATTAGTATTGATGTCGATGATACCAAGAGATGCTCGAGGAAGAAGTAGTCTTCCCTCGTACATGAGATCGTAGCTGTGTGGGTTGCATCCCAGCTTGTTGGCTATCATGTATTTGATAGAAGTCGCGGTGTCATTGACATTCGCGATAACCACCATGTCTAGCTGAGGGTTGGTGGGGACTTTGATGAACAATTTCCTAATGAGATAGGATACGTTGTCGTCTGCGAGTGGCTGATCTACACTCTGAGATTCATCTTGATGGGGCAACTCAATGGGGTTCTCACCAACACCTTCCTCATTGCAAACCTGTTTCACCTCTTTGAATGCAGCAGTGCTTTTAACCTTCAAAATATACAAACGGAATAAAAATATAAACATGTGTAATACACGGCGACAAATCATAAATCATGCAATATACGGAGTATATTAGGAAAATTTAATGGATCTAAATAATATTGTGTAATTAATAACCTATTAATAAAAATTACCGATGAGAGAAAATGATAACATATCTTAATAACTAAGAGATACGGCGGTTAATAAAATAATATAATCTCGCTATTTATTAAAGTGAATTCATAAATAAGCAGAATTGTGCACGTAGTAGAAAAACCTACATCAAACATTTAATCATCTTGAAATCTCGTGAATTACATAGCTTAGATCTATCATGTAATTTTATGCGCCGTTAATAATTGAAAATTTTAGGGATCGAAGCTAACAATTGACACACAAGCAAGCAAGCATGTAGTATATAATTGATATTTTCAATTAATTTTATGGGAAAATGGCAAGAGGTAGGGTTCCAAACCTCTCAAAATATTTTGATCTACTACACTCCCCTTCAAATGAACAATTCTCTAACAATCTCAATGAAAGGAAAAGGGTGAATAAAATGTGAAATTAAACTCTCTAATACACTAAAAAGAAGGCTTGAAATGTTTCACAATCAAATTAAAATCAATCTTAATTACTAGATGATCAATTTGGATCCTCAAAAAAAGATGATTTGGGTTCTCAAAAACACTTAAACATTTAAGTAAATTAGATAATATACACAATTATTTAAATATTTTATCCTCTTCGTTCCTTCCCTCACCCTTCCCAAAATCCCTCGCCACCCCCCCCCCAAATTGAAGGAGAGAAATTAAAGGAATAAGCTAGATGGTTTCAAAAATCCCCTTCGTTCTTCCCTCCCTCACCCTTCCCAAAATCCCTCGCCCTCCCCCCCCCCCCCAATCGAAGGAGAGAAATTAAAGGAATAAGCTAGATGCATTCACAAACAAAGATCGACTATTGATCTCCATGAGAAAGGCTAGACCTATTGGATCGCTCTAATGAGGGTCAGATCTAAGTCTCTATGCACCCTAAAATGTCAAACAGACCCTCATCAAATTCGTATGTAGTCAAGCCAATAGAAATCAATTTGAAGCACTTCTTGATTCTCAAATTAGTGATCAACAATCCATTCTACTAATATATCCTAGATCTAAGCCTTTGGATTTTAAAAGATCAATCACAAATTGCAAGTTGGTGTTTCGAAACAAGATCAAACTCCTTCCAAGGCAAAAATTGACAATTATATATTTCAAAACTCAAAAATCCATGAAATTTTAATTTTTACATTTGATTTATATAATAAAAGACCAAAATCTTATAATAACCAAAAACCCCTAAAATTAAAATTAAACATCCAAAGATTCAAATAGAGGGCAAAAACATGTGTGAAAATCAATTTTATGTTGATGATTTATAATTTTAATTTATTAATTAATCATCAAATCTTAACTTTTGATCAATTCAATTATAGATCTATAAAAATGACTCTTAAAACAGATGTTATAGCACAAAAATTCATGGAAAATAATTCTTCATCCTTCATTTCATCATCACAACTATAAAAATTAAATCTTGAAGTCATTTTCTCCTAATTTTTTTTAAATTTTATTATTTATTTAAAAATTAAATAAATAATAAAATTTTACAAAAATCAAGAGAAAATGATATCAAGATTCAACAAACGGTCAAATCAATTCCAACTTTTTTAGCATGAAAGTCAACTTACCAATCCAAAAACATGTAAAAAAAAACATCATTTGACAAAACAAAAACAAATAAAACACACAAAGATAAACACATAAACAACATGATGAGTGTTAAAATGAAACAAGAAATAAACCTCATCACCATCAGTCTCATTAGAAGAGGAGGCAGAGATAGCATAACCGGGACGCGAGGCACGAGCTTCACGACGATCAGCCATGGTGACGGTGGTGGTGGTGGTGGCCGGTGGCGGCTGTAAGAACAAACACAAATAAAATTAAAAAAAAAACTATTTTTAATTAGAGAAAAGACAAGAGAGGTGGTGTGAAATTATAGGAGTAGGGTTTAGGGTATTTATAGTGAAATGAAACAGCCTAAGACTGATGTTTAGTGTGACTCCACGTTTTTTTTGAGTGGCAAGGCGCCATTAGTATTAATTCTATCCAGTTTTTTTGAAATTTATTAATTACCTTTTTTCACAAATTTAATTAATTTAATTAATTAACACCAATTATTGTAGGATAATCTCATGCAATCTTCTATGATATTTGGGCCTGGACTCCTCGAATGATCCATTTTGGTCCGATATCATCTCCGATTTGCTTGTGTCTGATTTTCCGATGATTATACAAATATACAATCTTGTTTGTATGATTGTATGGAGTGTATATTAGTCGGATTATGAACCATTGATTTATTTTATTACGGAGTAATACTCTATATATATTTACGTTTGTTAATTTACTTATTTTTACGTATATAGTATGGGTGAAAGTACGGACTATAGCTACTACGTACGTACGTAGTAGTTTTAGTGAATTATTTACTCCGTATAATGCAAACATTATAGTAAATATATATATAGAGAAAAATCGATGAGAAGAAATCTCAATTGTGTTTATTACAAACTTATGCGCGGTATAGAGACAATTCGATAAGAAGAAATCTCAATTATGAGGTTTAGTGAGAAGAAATCTCAATTATGTTTATTACAAACTAGCTTAACTTGCATTGTTTAATAATTATTATTACAAGCTTTAGGAAATTCGAGGAATAATATGTAATAATAATGTACTTATTTTATTTCACAAATGTTAAAAAAAAATCGGATGTACAATAATGCTATTGTAAATCAATAGCAGTGAGCCTCTTCATTACTTTCTTTTATTAGTTTCTCTCTCTCTCCTCACTTATTTTTCACTCACTACGGAAGCCACCACCGCCGCCACCACCGCCGCAAGCTTGAGCCTCTCTCTCTCCTCACTTATTTTTCACCCACTACGGGAAGCCATCATCGCCGCCACCATTGTCGCGAGCTTGAGCCTCGTCAACAGTGATCTGACGGTTGTTGAGTGTTTGGCCGTTCATTCCTTTGATCGCGGCATCAAGGTCTTCGTTCCTTGCTTCCAAAGGTAATGATGGTGACGATGCTTGTATGGTAATTGGAAGCATTAGCAGAAATTTTTGTGATAAAAAGGGTCACTTTTGTGGGAAAAAAGGGATCACTTATGTGAAAAAAGGGGTCACTTTTGTAAAAAAAAAAAGTCACTTTTTTGAAAATATGGGTCACTTTTGTAAAAAAAAGAGGGTTACTTTTGTAAAAAAAAAAAGGTCACTTTTTTGAAAATATGGGTCACTTTTGTAATAAAAAGGGTAACTTTTGTAAAGAAAAAGGGTCACTTTTGTAAAGAAAAAGGGTCATTTTTCGCAAAAATGTTCGATGTACAATAAAATTACTGTAAATTGGGGGCATGCAAATTTTTTTGATTTTATTTAGCTAATTTAAATAAGTTAATTAATAAGAAAACATGTAAGTAAGAAATCATTTATTTATTTATTTATTTTAAACAAGAAATCATTTAATTAAATACATGTATGCATAGAAATAACAAGTACAATAAGCGAACACAGTAATTTATTTATTTACATAGGCATATATAATTAGTAGCTACTGGCCTACTATGTTAGATCATAAAATGTACTGGTATAATTGATCATATAATTAATTAAAGAAAGATTATATATTATCAGGAATTGCACAGTATGCATGATCAAAGTTAAAGCACAAACTCTTGAGATTATATTTTGATTAACAATATTATAAGATGTTAAGCCTTATTTAGTGTATAGCTATTGGGCCCTTGTGTTTGTTTAGCCCTAATATTTTGTTGAGTTGTATATATACATTTGTTAGTACTCTAACATAGCCACGGAAATTAATTCGTGACATGGTCTCAGAACCACTATCCTCTACACATTACAAACACTAAACTTCTAATATTTTCCCTAAATTTCTGATTTTATTGAGATAGTTCGATCAGATTGTGATCTACATTTGACAAGTTGGTGTGACTCGGATTGGGCTAGTTGTCCTTTGACGAGGCGTTTGATTTCGGGTTGGTTGGTCTTTCTTGGTGTGGTTTCCCAATTTCTTGGAAGACAAAGAAGCAACATACTGTTTCTAAGTCGTCTTCTGCGGAGGCAGAGTATCGCTCAATGTCGTCCATAACTTCATGGCTGAAATGGTTGCATTGAAGGCGCTACTTGATAGTTTGGGAGTGTCGCATCCACGTGCAATGAGCCTATTTTGTGGCAGTCAATCAACGTTATATATTGCACAGAATCCGGTGTTTCATGAACGTATCAAGTATATTGAGTTTGATTGTCATTATGTTAGGGATGCCATTCAGGAAGGAGTTATTAGTCCGTCTTATATGAAGATCAACTCACAGATATATTCACTAAGGCCTTAAGTAAAATCAGATTATGTATTTACTTGGCAAGTTGGACATTTGTGATTTGCATGCTCCAACTTAAGGGGAGAATGTTAGCCTTATTTAGTGTATAGCTATTAGGCCCTTGTGTTTAGCCCTAATCTCTTGTTAAATTGTATATATACACTTATTAATACTCTAATACAACCACGGAAAATTAATTCGTGACCCAAGAACAAACATTGCAATATTACATGCACAACCATTAATGGTACGACACTACTAAAAGTTGTACGTGGAGCTAGAACTTCTATCAATTTACGTGTCAATTCAAACTCAAATTAGTATACATTAGGGCACATAAAAGCGGTATCAGTTTAAAAGGCCGGACTATATATAGAGAAGTTTTTAATGGATCTCTAGAGAGTCAAGTGAGATCAAATGACACTACACATCCATTCTACCCTTAGAACATCTGATAATTGAAGGCTTCGATCTAAATCTTCCATACGTTTATTTTATTCATTACTTTTTTTCTATTTATGAATTCTTGTTATTAAATTTAACTAAAAGACGGTTGTGATTCGTTGTTGTTGTCATTTATTATGCTTTGGAGATAGGCCAATAAATAAAAAATTTATACATGAAACCCTAATTTTACACATATGCCCAAGTTAATTCTAAGTTACATTGGTCTAATTTTATATAACCAAATACATATTTTATATATGGTCTTTAATTTACTAATCTTATACGAATGTCGATTATATCAAAGACAATTTGGCCTAGCAAAATATACTTCATAATACTATTGATTTTTTTTTTTCCTGATCTAATTGTCTGATTTGATAACTAAAATTTAACCTTATGCCAATGCATAAGTAAAAATTATATCAAATGATTTTATTTTTTTAAAGATTTGAATTAATGTGTTGATTTAGTTGTGTAAATTTCATAAGTTTTTTCATTATGAAACTAAAGATATTTAGCAATAAAAAGTTGCACATAAACTAATAAATTGTGTTGTGAAGTAATTTTTCTAATCTAATATAATCTAATAATTACGGTCTTAGACATGGGCGGAGCTAGAAGGGGACATGTGGGGACACTTGTCCCCCCATTTTCAAAAAAAAAAATTTTTAAAAAAAAAAAATTTAAAAAAAAAAATGCAATTACAGTGCTCTGTTGCGACATTTGCCAGCCAAACCCTAAGTTTTTCAATTTTCAATTTCTCTCTCTTCGATTCGCCCTCGCCTGTCGCCTAGCCGGCTCGCCGTGACGCCGTCCACCGTTCGCCGGCAGTTCGCAGCAGTGACGAGGTTCAACAGCCGCCCTTGAGCCTTCGTCCTTCGTGACTTCGTGTCTTCGTGACTTCGTCATATGCATAAGCATAACACATTTGCTGTAAATCTGGATTTCAATGGAGGTATGAATCAATGAATGTATGATTAATTGAATAATTGATTACTTGTTTTGTTGTTTAAATGTTTAATTGTTTAAATTTACAGTAAATCTGAAATTCTGAATTTCATATTTTTATTACTTGTTTAAATGTTTAATTGTTTATATTTTTATTGTGAATTTGTCATTTGTGGCCTTGTGGGTATTGATTATTGAATAATTTGAATTGATAAATGATTATTGATTTATATTTGTTTGATTGTTTCCCCTGTTAGAGTTTTTGGTTGTTTTGTGAAATGTGAATTTAAATTATTAATTATTGTAAATTATTGAAATGTGTAGTTGAATTAGAAATTTAAAATCTTAGCCTCTTAGGTTTTGTTATTATGTAATGATGTGGATTGTGGTCTTGTGGAAATTGATATATAATTTTCGATTTAATTAGGAAATGTCAAACGATTCACCAAATTCAAACAAATCAAAGGCAACTAAACAACCCGATCTTCGACAATTCTTGTTTAAAAGAACGAAACTCAATGAAAATGAGTCCAATGAAAATGACTCCAATAACTCACCTTCATTTAGCTCCCCTCAAAGTCAAGAAAATAGTATGGAAATGGGTGGTTCAAGTAATAGTAATGTACCATTAGAGGAAGATTCGGTGTACGATGTTGAACTTCTTCCTCATGATCCGGGAAAAAGAATAAACATTATGGCAACGGCAATTCATTTGCTTATCAAGTTGATGTTGATTCTTCCCGTTGCCACGGCAAGTGTTGAAAGAGTGTTTTCTGCAATGACATGTGTCAAAAACAAGTTGCGAAATAGCATGGGTGATCAACTTATGAATGATTGTTTGGTCACTTTTATTGAGAAGGATGTCTTCTTACGAGTTTCCGACGAAAAGATTATTGATCGATTTCAAAGTATGAAGACTCGAAGAATGAACTTGTAATTTTAATGTAATGTTTATGTAATTTTTTTCATCATTTTGAATTGTATGACTAAGTATATATTTGTATTTTGAAATTTTAATATTAAGTATTAACCAATTTGTGTGTGAGTTTTTTTTTTTGTTTTTATTTTTTGTTAAGCTTTTCGTAAGTTAAGCATTTTGTCCCCCCAAGTTGAAAATCCTGGCTCCGCCACTGGTCTTAGACCCTGTTTACTTCACCTTAAAAAACAAGTTTAAGTAAAAATTATTTCAGTTCAGTAAAAATAAGTTCAGTTCAGTAAAAATTATTTCAATTCAGTAAAATTCAGTTCTCTTAAAGAAGAATTATAATAGAAAAACAGTAAAAATAATTTCAGTTCAGCAAAAATAAATTCACTTCAGTAAAATTAATTTAAGTTTAGTAAAAATAATTTAAGTTCTAAAAAATATAATTTTGTTTCAGTAAAAATAATTTCAATTCAGCAAAAATAAGGTGAAGTGAACGGGGCCTTAGTTCTCATTTAAAAAAAATAAATATATAAATTATTGTTCTCCCTAACAGTTCAGGTAAGAAATCAAGTCCAACTTTAATGACAGTTCATCCAGTCAAGTTTCTCACTATAAATGGTAAGATATCAACAAAACAAGGAAAAAATGGATATGCAAATCACATAGAGCTATAAAAGATTGTCTAATAAGATGCCAAAAAAGGGTCAAACCCAAGATAAATTACACTTAGGGGTCGTTTGGTTCATCTGGGGTAAACGAAATGGAATGAGCAAAGGGAATGTAAGAGAATGGAATGAAAATACCTAATATTCTCTATGTTGTTTGTTTTAAAAACAAAGGGAAACAATCCCATCAATCCACCACCACACAACCCCCCCCCCCCCCACAACCACCATACAACCACCTAATTCATTCACTTTCCACCTTTTCTAGCCACCATCCGTCCACCAAACCACCAGTCGCCCCTTCGCCGCACCTTCTCCTCCCTTCGCCGGCCCCTACGCATCTCTCCCTACGCAAAAATAAATTGGGTTTCGATGGTGAAGGGATGGAAGGACGGCGGTTTTGCGGGGATAAGGAGGGAATTCTAGGGTTATACGGAGTTGGGGATGTTTTTGCGGGAGGAGGATAGAGTTTTACGGGGAGGGGGAGAGGCGACGAGGGTCATCGGAGAGGCGGCGAAGCATGGTTAGTGTGGTGGTTGGATTTCTCGGTGGTGTGCGTAGGTAGGAAGGTGGTGATGTGGTGGTGTAGTGGTGGCTAGGGGATAGGAATGGAAAAGTCTAGGGGGTTGGGGAATGAACTTAGAGGGATTTAGGGTAATGAAGAGCGTAAAGGAAATGGGAAAAATGGTCTAACAAATAACAAGGGAATGAGGGTAGTTGATTCCTATTCCCTTTAATTTGATGATCAACCCCAACCAAAGGGCCCCTTAATGGTCAAATATCTAACTCCCAAACCAAAATTAAGAACATTTTATACTAATACGTACCTTTGCTTCACAATAGATGTAACATTTTGGATAAAGACTTTTTGAATCAGTGGGCTAGAGGCCGCCTTTCAATTCTCATCAAGCACAAATACATTACATTAATAATTAATTTTTATATACATTAGTTGAAAAAAAAAATTATATTATGAAAATAAATATAGATAATCCAACAATTTTTACATAAATATTTATTTTTTAAATATATTAATGTAACTTTAGTCAAATTAAAAAAAATAATAATGAACTAAGTAATTAAAACGTTGCATCTATCATGAAAGTATATAGATGGCAAACTTTGGTTTAGAATCTCCTCTATTCCTTGCAAGTTGAAACAGATTGATAGTTGTATTCTTTGATTGGAAGTAAATAGAACAAAAAAAATCTTCTTAGCCAAGTCTTATTTTTTGTTTATTACATGTAAAACCCGAATTTTCTGTAAGCAACATTCGCAATACGTACGTGCGCTTTTATTAACACCCTATTGGATATGGCAATGTATTCATTAATGTTGACCTTAAGTTTTGATGATGACTCAAGGAACCTAAGCAAACCCATATAAGTTTAACTTTCGTTTTTAGCTTTGATTAACGACACGTTTATGCAATGAAATTCTGGAGTAAGAATGGAGCATGGAACAAGGTATGGGTCAGCTATAGGAGGATAAAAGAAGACAATTAAAAGTCATGTTCCTTTAGGGAGGAACTGAAGCTCCAGAGTTGAAGCTTCAAGACGACGAGTTCCTTGAGTGAGGAACTGAAGCTCCAGAGTCGAAGCTTCTCAGAGTTTCAAGGAGTCTAATGTTGTAGACACCCATTTATGTCTCCCCAAAATCAAACCCAGTGATGAGTACCTTTCACGTCGAATCATAATCGAATGAAGTGAAACTGTGGAAAGTTTAGTGTTGCAGATAGTTTTAATTTCTTTTCTCTTCTCTCTATTTTTGAAAACTTATTTTTA